GGATCCTTGGAGGGCGCAGTGCCAGTGCGACATGCCTTCATCCACTTCCCAGTGGATGAAGGGGATGAAGGTCGTGAAGGCTAGCGAACTCAATCGTACAGCCCAGAAGAATCAGAACGACCCAACCTTCACCGATTCTCCAGTCCTTTATGGACTGTTCGACCGAAACCCTTGGCACAAATGAAATCAAATGAACACCAACCGGACGATTTGCCAAGACGGAACCGATGCTTCCCAAGCCTCCGGTTCCCCCGGCTACATCGTCTTCTACAGGTACACCTCAAAAGGACCAGTTTTACGAAGTCCTTCTGTAAACGACCCAGTTTTACGAGGTCACATTATCTTTGACCTTCAAAAACTTTCAGGTCACCATTTCCACGGAAGATTCTTTGGGCATTGAGGTCACCACTTCCACAAAAATTTCTTTGGGCATTAAGGTCACCTCTTCCACAAAATTTTCTTTGGGCATAAAGGTCATTTCCATGGAACATTTTTTTGTGTTCGATGGTCCTTATGCGTACATATGTGCATGCATACCGGAGACATGGTACCCATACGCTCACTTTTAGCGGCACCCGTACCTTACGCAAGTCCACGCGTGCCAATCTTTTCTTGGTGTATGTTGTTTTGCGCACGTTGTTTGCTCAATTGACCAGTTACGTTGCCATGATATACGTGGCTACGTGAGAGTCATGTTTGCTGCTTGGAGTTGCGTGCGTGCATTGTTCAAGCCGATGACAGCTCATCGTCAAATCGCATTAGAAGTTTGCAGGTCCCATGTTGTAGTGTCACGCTAGAGTCACGCCCATTGATGTCCATGGCGAAATTTTGACGTCCTTTACTAAGTAGAAAGGACGTTGAAAACTTCGTGGTTTAGGTGGGGGTCACGCGAGAGTCACGGTAGAGTCACGGTCCCATGCCCGGGCCAGAAACGGCCAATTTCAACCACATGCGTTGTCTGTGTTGTAACGCATCGACCTTGCTTCATATTAAAAAGATCTGGCAGCCTGGGCGCCACTTATATGATATGCATGCGCTTGTTGCCACAAATATTTTGTCTGTGCGATGTTCGCGCGAAACGGAAAGTAGAGCAAAACGCTCCTGGAAAGCCATTGGTGCAGCATGTTGAATCAGAATCATCGTGCCATGTATATGTGCACCATATATGCATAAAGTAAAACACTAAGTAAAAGACGTCTTTATAGTTGCCAAAGTAAAAGGCGTCCTTTACGGAGTAAAGTCCGGCTTTCCACCATTTCCACGAAAAGTTTTCGGAGGTCGAATTTTGCTATCAGTATTGCCACGCAGGAGACTCACCCTTCTGTACTCCTTGAGGTGGTGGGCATGCGTATCCTTTTTTGAGGTGCGGGCTTTGCCCCTTCTCCTGATGCGAGCAGAGCTGTTGGCAACCTTCTTTGACAGGCCGCCTGGGAATGTTGACCTCATAGTGACTATCAATGGTATTGGACAGCCACCTTATGGTCGAATGCATTGACGACCGGGTGATGCAATCCACATTATGGTCCTCCTCTTCTACCACGACCTTGATCTAAGTCTGGCTGAGGCGGCTCCTGACATCTTTGAGGAGTGCTTCATGAAAGAGGGACGTGCGGTCATTTTGGTTGCTTCTGGAGAAGGAATCTATGAACGCACTCTGTGTGCCCATTTGCATCTTGGGATCTACTACTGACTATCTCTGGCTGGCCTCATGGGCCAAAATCAGGTGGCCTTTCTTGGTACACCACCCACATTGGCACCTGGACCAGACGCACTACTCCTACAGGTCGTCAGCCTTGTTAGGAGATTTGGTGGGGGTCTTCTATGTGGCTTCAGAAGTGCACGATTTACTCCATGTGATTGTCGAATTTGAGAACACCCGATACTCAAAAGATCATGTGAGAGGGTGTTGCAAGCACCCGGCATGGTCACCAAGGAGTTTTTCTTTCTTCAAGTGGTTTACACCGTCATTCTGCAACTGAGTCTCAAGTGCCCTCTCTGGCCGCGGCAATGGGACCTAGTCTGATGCAACAGGGGCGTGAGTTGGGTCCACATCAGACCTTTGCGGGCTTGCTGGGTCGAAGGGAGAGATCTCGATCCCTCCGGTGGCTATGGACATTTTGAGGGTCTATGGCGAGTACATGTTGATGGTTGAGTGCCCCTGCACTCCAAATACGTGGTTGCATTCAGCCCGCTCATGCATCTTAGGGGCTTGGTCTTCCTGGGACGGAAGCAGAAAACGCCATCATTGTCGAGATATATCCGAAATTGCAGGAGCCTAGTCATGTCACCCACTCCTACATTTACACAGCGGGAGGATCCCTACGCACGGGCATGCTCCTACTCGGTCATTGCCACCAAAAACTCCGAGTATGACTGTATACTGAGACTGAGGTGAGCAGCGCCTCGCTGTTACAGACCTCCTTTGCCTTGGCGGCCTCGGTCAAACTTCCCCCACCGGGGAATGGGGCGAGAGTGTGATTTGATCCTATTGTTGAGGAGTTTGAGCTTGGTAAACGCCTTCAGGTTTTTGACCATGCCATTGAGTCAGATTACGCCCAGAACATGCTCGCAGGTCTGAGCAAGGAGGCCTGCTTGAACCCTTTTCTTTGTGGTTTCTGTCAATCTCTGAAGGCAGGAGCCAATATTGAGTCCCCTGATGCGGCTGCGGTCGACACCTTGGAGGCGGATCTGCCGACGCATCCTGGCTATTTGCCCATTGGTGACACGGGCTCGAAGGTTACGGTGACACTGGCTTCTTCAATTGGCCATGATTTTAGGGCCGTCCACCTGCCTTCCCATCGCCCTTGTTCGAATGGTGAGGAGGGGATTGATTTCACTGTGGTCCTACAAGTGATGGATTGGTTTAATGGGCATGTGGTGCAACCTACTTTCCCTACCCAACTTCGTTGGCATCCAAGTACACTCCCATGGCTGGATGTACCACGGTGGCATTTGGAGCCTCCTGAGGTTATCCATTTCTATCTTGATGGTTCAGCTTGCTGTGGTGGCATGGGGGCCTGTGGGCCTTTGCACAGGAGTGGAAATGGGCTGGAGCTGTCCAGCGCAGAGTTGAGCTGACGGGCAGTGCCTATACGTCAGAGACGGTGGCACACTTGATTGCCACGAAATGGGTATGACCTGTTGAGAACCCAAAGCTGTAGATGGCCTTCTATGCCACGTATCATTTTCCACTATGATGCCTTGTCAGCTGCTGGAGTGGCGTTTGGTTGGTTTGGTTCTGATGATCTCCTGAGCCTTAAGGCACAAGCGCTTCGTCAGCTCATCAGGTATGGGCATCCGGTTGACATTGAAGCCCGCTTCACGCGTGGTCATGACGGTGATCCTGGCCAGGAGGGTGCTGATGTCCTTGCAAAGCAGGCAGCGGTCAATGTCTTCCAGACTGATCGCTTCTGGATCGCTGTCTGTGATGAGGCGGTGATCAAAAGTGTGTGGATGCAATGGTTCTGGATGCTCACTCGTGCGGCCCCTTTTGGCAGGCAGGACGTCTGTGTCTGCCACATCCCAAGGTGGAGGAGGATGCACAGGTGGTAGACTCTTGGCAAGATCGACCGGATGTTGGTGCTGAGGTGCAGCTCTCAGCTGAGCTGCTGTCATGCAATGTCATGTCCCTCAACAGTAAGTCTTGCTCTGCTTATACCGCTGTCCAGGGGTTCCTGGATCAATGCCATGACAAACGTTTGGCCACGGTGGCACCGCAAGAAACCCGCCCACACTACATGGTGGTGACGCATCCTGCGCAGGCCGGCTGTGGTGGAGTCTTGCTGGGGCTTCATCGACGGTATTTCCAGTAGATTGTGCAAGAGGGCAAACTCCCACCTCTGATGGAAAAGAATTGGATTCTGATTGCTAGTACGCCCGAGATGCTGGTGACGCGACTATGGTGGGGTTCCCTGGACTTCCTGCTGGTTAACGTTCATGCCCCTCCCACAGGGCGTCCCATTGAAGAGATTGCCACCTTTTGGCGGTCCCTGAGGATTTTGGTGCCTTCTTATCTTCAGCAACATCCCATGATCTTGATGCCAATGCACGTCTGGGGTCTGTTCTCTCCCCCTGCGGTTGGAGGCCATGGTGCTGAGGATGAGACTGACAGTGGAGCGGTTTTCCACTCCACATTGATGGACTGGGATATGTGGCTTCCGGCCACCTTTGAGGAATGTCATTGGGGCCCTTGCCATACATGGACACACCCCAGAGGATCCACGAACCGCCTGGACTACATTGCAATCCCATCTATACTTGGACATATGAAAGGCATTGGTCGTGGACTGACTTTGAGACTCAGGCCCATGACCATCTTCACGATCATCATGCTGTCTGTCTTGAAATCCACGGCAAGCTGGCGGCCTCGCATGGGCTTCATGCTCCTGCTCGGCCGGTGAAGTTGCAGGCACTACAAACTGCAGAGGATGCCAGCTCTTTGCTCCAAGTTGCTGTCAACACCATGACACCCATCAGTTGGAACTTGGATGTCCACCAGCACGCCCATGAGCTGACTAGGCGGTTTGAAGATGGTGTCCGCCAAGTGATTTTAGCTCGCGCTCCTTTCCATCGGAAGCCGCATTTTCAGAGGGACACCATTTTGATGATCCGGGAGAAGGCACGTCTTCGAGGGGTTTTTTTACGGCGCCAAAGGACTCTACGTCTTCACCCTCTACGGATTTGTTTTCAGGCATGGAGCCGTGCTGGTGCAAATGATGACTGGCATTGGGTGGCTGACATCGATACCTACCAGAGCATCACTTGGCTCCAACTGTTCCTCTCCTTTCGTTGGGCGCGCAGCCAGGCTAATGCCCTGCAAAGGAGGGACACATGTGCTTTTCTTTGACTCCTTTAAGGACGGGTGGCAGGAGAGTGACAAGCCTGAGAAAGTTCGTGAACTTTGGGCGTTAGTCCAAAGACATCTACCAAAGGCACAGGAAAGGCGGATGACTAGGCCAGCTATTCAGCAAGAAGCTCTGAGGGAGAAGTGGCAGCCTCATTTATGTGCGCTTGAAGCTGGTGGACCCGTTCAGCTACGTGATCTTTACCAAGAGCTTGTTGAGCGTCAGAAGGTGGATCCTCCACCACCGTGTTTGGAGGAGATCCCTACTCTTGCGGCCATTGAGATGTCTTTGAGGTCCACCAAACCAGGCAACAGATGGATTGATGTCAGGCTGGATTCACTTTGGTGCTACACCCCGGCCCCACGGTTGTTTGATTTGGTGCTCAAAATGATGGTGTCAGCGGATAAGCCCATTCAATGGAAGGGTGGCAGCCTTCACATGTTGCCTAAAGGCCCTGCTCCAACCTCGGCGGCGCAATACCGCGGGATTATGCTTTTGGGAGTCCTGGCTCGACGTGTCCATGCTCTCTTTCGTGGTCAGGTGACGCAGCATGCAGCACAGAACCGACCGCCTGGTCAATTGGGTGGGTTCCCCCACGAGGAATGCAGTTTTGGCAACCTCTATGTGAATGCTTTTATGCGACGAGCCTACCACATTGGGCTGCCGTCTGCTGTCATCTTTGTGGACCTCCAGGCAGCTTTCCATTCTGTCATTCGGCAGTTGGTGTTGGGGCAAGGGGCAAGGCCTTGGTGACCCCAAAGATAGAGAGATCTTGACGGAAGTGAGGGTTGGCCACTTCTGAGGGCTCGTGAACTCCATCGACTATACATGTGTGCTACATTAATTTGCTGCGTAAGGTACTCCATCAGTGCAAGCGGCCGGGGATGGAGGTGATGACTGATGTGGAGCTGTTGATTGCTGCTGACCGCCCACCGGTGCGTGTTCGGTTGGCCCAACAAAGGCTCCTGCTGGCTGCGCGGTTGGCACGCCACGGTCCGGCCTTCTTGGTTGACGAGCTCAAGTCTGAGCGGGAGACCTTGCCAGATGGATTGGGCGCTGGGCTTCATGAGGACATTGCTTGGCTGGCTTCTGCAGTTGACCGTACCTCTTGGGGGACTACGGTTTCTGAGCTATGGCAACATTGGCGACAAAAATCGACCGGGCTGGAAGAGGCTTGTTAAGTTGGCAGGGACCAAGCATGTCAAGTTGTTGCCTGTGCTTCACCACCGCCAATGTGGACAGGGTCTGAAGACGATACCTTGCGGGATCTTTTTCTTCAGGTCCGATATACATGTCATTGTGGCGCCAGATTTGGAAATCAACGTGCCCTGCGCTTTCACCAAGTTCAGGCTCATGGAAAGCGCAACCCTGAATCTGATGTTGTGCACGGTGCTACCTGCCCTGTTTGCCTTCGACACCTGCGGGACCAAAAATCGTCTTCAACAGCATCTGCTCTATGTCTCTAGAAAGGGATTGGTCAACAGTTGTGGTGCTTGGGTGCGCCACATGGCTGTTCCGGAGGCATTTCGAGAAGACCTACCGCCTGACCCCTTTAGCGCTTTGCCTGGTGCTCTGAGGACAGATGCGGTGGTTTTGGCAGGGCCTCATGTCCTTGGGGCTTCTAAGGATGATGTTGATTGGCTGGAGGCTGAGTTTTTTGCAGGGCAAGCAGGCGCTTGCTGAGAAGGGTGTGACCTTTGTGGTGGATGATGATACCCTTCATGCAATGACGGAGCTTCTGATTCGGCATTGTCGTGAGCGCTGGCCTCCTGACCGGATGCATGAGCATTGGGAGGCCTTCCCGGCAGAAGAGTTCGTGAGCGCCCTCTTCCTGTGGGGTACGCGCGCTGAGTTGAGGGCTGATGACATGACATGGTGGGCCTGGGCAGGGATTTTGGCTTCTTGGCCTTTTGGACGGGAGGTCATTCGTTTGCACGACATGTCGGCTCTTTTTCAGCGACTCCTTGACGTACACGAAGGTGCGAGTGAGCGGGCCCCATATTGTTGGCCCGCGGTGGGCACCACGGCGCTTTGCACGGCGAGCTTTTTTCCTCTGCCGGAAGTGCAGATTCTAGGCTCGCTTTTGCCAGTTTCGCGAGTGCCGGTTTGGTCACTTTAGGTGCGGCTGGTAATTTAGCTTTTATCGAAAAAACATGTTGTGTGTGTGCTGTTTCATCATTTTCCTGATTTATTTGTCCATCTTGGGCAGCATCAAAGTGTTATATATATATATATATATAACTAGCAAATCCGGGCGCCGGCCAGGACGCCCGTGGCATGCCCGGAGGGCCTTCGGTGGTAACCGAAGGTTATAGACGCTGGCCCTGGCTGCCGCCGACCCTCGTTCCCAAAACGGGCGGACCACCGGGTCACTGATGCCCCTGTAAATTACAGTGTATCGTGTGTGTGAGGTATAAAAACACTGTGTTTTACAGGGTTTATTGCGCATATCGAAGTACGACGCGGGGAATAGGGAGAAATGCAAAAATGCTGTGTTTTTCAAGGGTGGTGTCGGTAATGCGCGCCGGGCGGACAGGCTTAATCGACATTTTGTGGGTAGAGGCCCTCCAGACGACTTACATTGCCTAACATATCCTCAACCTGGGCCCAAGATAGCCAACATATCCCCAACATATGCCCAACATAGCCTCCAAGATGGCTCAACATAGGCCAACATGGGGCCAACATAGGCCAACATAGGCCTAACATAGGCCAACATAGGCTTAACATAGGGTTAACATGGGCTCCAGATGTGCCCAACATAGACCACATGGGCCCCACTTGGCCCAACCTAGGGCCAAGATGCGCACCAGATAGCTTAACTTTGCTCAATATAGGGCCCCGTCTCCGACGCGGACCAGTTTCCGGCACCACCAGGGCCCAGTGTATGCCCCCGATAGCTTCACGTGCGCCCGACCCAGCCCTACACAGACCCAAGTGGGCCGGCGCCCGGCTGTTAGGCGTAAGCCTTTAAATCCAGAACCATCCATCCACATCTCAGTGCATACCAATATATATGGGTCATCTTATTGATCTTTTGCCTTGATTGGACGTTGCTTGAAATGGGACCCTAAATCCCCCAGTTTGGTGGTCTTACCATGCTATGTAATGCCTCATGGACACTCTGTTGGGGGATAGGGGCCACTCACTTTCCGGAGCCCTGCTTGTGAGTACAATTCTAGCTGGTGGTCAGGAGGGAGCAAGGCAGCTAAGGAGCCGGAGCTATCCAGTTCTTCCCCAGGGCCAGCAGGGAACCGTGCTTTAAAACAAGTTCCCTTGAAGACCATTTGCTATACAGCTAGGCATGTGTTGTTGTGCATTAAAGAAAGAAATGCCAAAACATGCCAAAACAACTCAAGAAATTTAAAATATGTCTATTTTGGTATGTCTGAAAGAAGATAGTCTTTCTCTTCCCTTGAACAGTGTTTGTTCCCGCAGGCGTGGCTGGGCCTTTCCAACTGGTTTGTCGTTGAACGAAGTCGCCGCTTGGGCGACGCTTCCGTCGCGGTGCTTCGAACGAAGTGACTCGAACGTTAAATCCAAACGATGCTCCTGAAGGTCCCATTTAAAGTTTTCAGTTCACCCTTTGTTGTGACCCCAATTTTTGGAGATTCCTATAAAGCAAACTCCACGGCAAGACCAAGTGTTCGGACTTCGGACGAGTCCAACAGCGCATCGAGGGCAGCCCTGTTGGGGATAGGACCGGAAGAAGGCATGGAAAAATCCCTGTTGGGGTAGGCCCAGAAGCAGCCACTACTCGAAAGGAGCAGAATCATCTGAACACATTCTCCATTGTTTGCTACTGTACGTCGCCAGGAAGGATTTCTACACCAGTTTTCCAACCACTTAAACTTGTTCGAGTTTTTCAGGCATAACACATATATATATATACATAGCGGGACTCATGGGTCTCAGAGATGCGCCCCCCAAGAACTGCTTACGCCCTACGCCCTACGCGACTCACTGGATCCACCTGCTTCGCAGAGGTCATCCAGTGGATCCCAGGCAGTACCCGGGTACCCCAAAATGGGCTCCTGTCCCACATCCGAAAAGCTTCGGTGGAGGTGAAAACGGGGTGGGTGATCAAAACGGGGGTCGAGTCTCACTACCGAAGCTTTTCGGATGTGGGGGTGGCTCCTGGCCCCCATCCGGGATGGAACTGGAAGCGGGGGCGATCGTGGGCAGCACTTGTGACCACATGTGACCACCAGCATGCGTTGGTGGTGACTGGACCGAACTGCATCCACACCACACATGGGTGTGTATTTCAATAGGTTGAAACCGCAAAACCCTCGGCGACCGCTTTTGTCGCCGCTCGAACAAAAGGGCTCCATTGGCCTCTAAGTTGCATGACCTGACTTGGTACACTTCTCGATTTGGTGCTTCTGGACTCCCCCTCGCCACTTGTGGTGACTTTTGAGGGAGCACCAAACCTCTTGCGAAAGACATTCAAAATTCCCTCCTGGTTGGAGGGAGGCTCAAGCCCTCAAACCGTCTTAAAGACGGTATACCCCCACCAAAGGTCTAGGAGGCATCCTCGCTTCCCATTTCGCTCATCGACCAGGATCGTCTTCCTTCGGGAGGTCGCATGCCATGCCACGGTCATCCTCCATCTTCCCCATGTTTCCTCCAGAAGCGTGTTGCCCTCGAAGTCATACAGCTTCTTCCGGTCCTGATAGTGGACCCTGATCCCGACCTTCTTCTCGCCCTCAAAGTCGATCAGGTAGTCCCAGGAGTCCTTGGCCGATGTTCTCCGCGGTGGGACCGAGAGCACCCTCCGCACTGCCTCATTGATGAGGCCCCTCTGGAAACCTGGTGTTCTCAGGTAGTCTGCCATCTCTTCCTCGTGGCACCATTTCCCCAGGACGATGCCGGGCTCAACCGTTGTGACCAACCTCAGTGGCTCCACCCTCGGTGGTCCCGGTCGACGATGCCCTTCAGGTTGCTCACCACCATCTCCGTCTTGAGGCTGTTCTCCACTTCCCGGAGCTGCTGACTCGGCTCTTGGGTTCCTTCCCAGTCCATCACCTGGGTCACGGGCTATGAAGTGCACCCCATCGCTGTCCAGCATCACCCAGGTCCCTCCATAGTCTCTCCGTGGTCCCCGTCGAATCATGTAGCGGTCCCAGGCGCTCATAGTCATCCCCAGCTCCGCTCGACGTCTCTCCTCGGCACCAGCATCATAGGCCCCTCGATGTCTTAGTCCCGAATCGTGTACCCGAAGATCTTCATGGCCTTCTTGACCCACTGCTGCCGGCACCTCACTTCGCACCTCCCCGATCTGGACGCTACGATGGCATAATCCCGGATCAGTTCCTTCAAGGTGTCCAGCTGGTTCAGGTCGGTCAGAACGTGGTCCCTCTCGGTCCACTGCCGATGTCTGCCCAGCCGATGCCATTGGGGCCGTCTCGGGACTTGATCTCACCCTCATCGTCCTCATTGAGATTCGATCCACCGGATGGCTTGTTCCCAGCTCCTGCCTCTGGTAAAGGGGATCGTCAGGCTCTGCCCAGGGGTATGCCTCCTCGTGAGCCGAGTATCCAAATCCACGATTCCCCCGTTGGGTTTCACTCAAATCCTCCACGTGGTTCACCCCCACCTCCAGGATGCGCTCTACGACCAGTTGAGCTACTCGATCTCCCTTGTAGACTCGTAAGTCATCGTCCGACCAATTTCTCAGTAGGACTTTCACCTCGCCCCTGAAGTCACGGTCCACAACTCCTGCTCCAGTTTCAATCCCCCGGATTGCCAATGACGACCGTGGGGCGATTCGTCCATATGTCCCAGCTGGAAGTTCGATCGCCAAACCGGTCTTGATCAACACGCTCTCTCCCGGAGGAACCAGCGTTTCAATGGTGGAGTATAGGTCCAGTCCTGCAGCCTGATCCGAACCCCGTGTGGGTAGTCGTGCTTCTGGGCTGAGCAACTTCACTTTGATCTCCTCCTTCGGCCTGAACCACCTCTGGATGCCCGAAGTTCCCACTCGAAAGGCAATGTCGACCAGGACAGCAATGGCCGCCGTGATGAGCACGATGATCCACCATTCACTCGTGGACTCTGCCTTCTCCACCTCTGCCGCCTCCACTCTTCCCAACAGACTGGCAGCCGCGACAAGCAGTCCAATTCCTCGAGTGAATCCCGGGTCGACCTTCTTGGTGATGTCAATCTTCTTCACCGCAATCGCCTCCTTCTCTCCACCTCGGAGTGCTAGCGCTCTCTTGAACCTTCCCAGCCCCGGTCCCACGAGCTGCTTGGTGAAGCCATCAGCAACCAGGACCTTCCCGGACACATGATCCAAGGTGATCTCCTTCTCCTTGATCGCCTCAGTAAGGCCCGCCGCCCGAATCCTCAGGTGTCTGGTCCTCCACGATGACGTAGTCCCCGTGGCGATCGCAATTGCAGCGGTGGAATCCGAGTGGAGTGCCACCCTCGCCTTCTCCCCTGTCATTGCCTCGACCAGTGCTGCCGTGGATCTTCCTGCGACCAACCCCTCCAGCAGCGCCATCAATTCCGCTTCTGCCGTTGACAAGGTGATGAAGGGTTGACGGGTGGTCTGCCACCCTACCGGAGTTCCTCCAACAAAGACCACCACTCCGGAGATGCTTTTCAGCTCCGATGACCCATAGGAAGCATCCGTGTAGACGTCAACCGCCTGGATCATGTTCCTTTCATCGCCGATGGTCTTCTCTTCCATCTCCCCACCATCGGCCGTCATCGCCATGACCTCATCGATCGTCTCCCGGAGATGGGCTCTGAGCTGCTTTCCAATGTTGATCACCTGAAGTGGTCTCTTGGAGGCCCATTGAGACATCATACCCACCCCCAATGAGAGATCTGGTCGAGTTCTTCCAGCTACCCACAGGAGCTCCCCGGTCTCTTTCTGAGCTTGAAGCACCTGATCAGCAGTGGGTTGCTCCTCCTCTTCTGGTGTGCGAACCCTGCTCAACGCACATCGGTCTTTCTCGTCATACTCCTTCAACAGGTTGGTGATGTAGGCCTGCTGGTGCACGACATAGCTCGTGCCTCGCTTCTCAATCTCCATCCCCAGGAACCGCACTGGTTCTCGACCTTCCATCACCCACTCCGGCTCGCCAATCTTCCAGTGCATCTTGAGCTGGTCGATGAACCCCTGGATGATCTCCGTCTCACCCACCATCAGCACGTCATCCACGTACGTGGCCAATGCTCCCTTCGTCATCCAGACATTTTGTTCGTCCTGTTCTTGGACCAGCCAGATGTCCGTCTGGGGTGTGGCCTGCACTCTCACTGGCCGACCTCCTCTCAGCCACTGGAAGTTCTTGATCTTTCCATCTCGGTGGTCACACCAATCCCGTGGCGAGGTCACTAACCCGTAGAGGGCTTTCTTGACAAGCCATAACTCCTTGGAATCTTGGAGCACTCCAGCCTCCTGGAAGATTCTTGGTGGCTGTACTATCACCACCCCACGGTCCTGAGCCGCCGGAGCGTTGAGGAACGCGGTCTTGACATCGAGGGTGCTCAAGGACCAGTGGTTGATCGCCGCCATCTTGATCAGCGTCCTCACCTCAATCCCGCTGGCTCCCGAAGCGAACGTGGATTCAGAGCTCTTGGCATTCATGAAGTTGCCACATGCCACCCCTCTGCACTTGTGCCTCCCAGTGCCCGCCTTTCGGCTGAAGATGGCCTTCGCGGGTACCAGGTCGAAGTCCCTGCCCTGAGCCTCTGCCTCTTCCTTCAATCGATTCGACTGGTCCTGACCGATGGCTTCGACCGCCTCCGACTCCTTGGTCAGCGCCACATACTCCTCGACCATGGAGGACCTCCACTCTTCCAAGTTTCTCCTCACTTCAGCCAACCCCACCATCCTGGTCTGCAGGAACTCCTGGGAATTTCCAGCTGCTTTCTCGGCATTCTCTAGCAGCTCTTCTTGCTCATGGTGCCCTTCTCGCACTGCTTCCTCCACGATCTCCTCGACCTCAGCGGTCAGCATCTTCAGAAACCTCTCGTTCATGACCTCCCCCTCGTCTTCCTCCAGGAGACTCAGTTCCCGAGCCAGGATTTGTGCTCCCCGGTGCTGCAGCTCCCCCCAGTCCACGGCCTCTGACTCCTCTCTCGGTCTCGACGGGGTACCCCAGCATTTCCTCACTCTTCCTGGTCGCTTCCGCGGTTGGTCGATCTCCTCCCTGTCATCGACCTCGTGGATGAAGCCGGCCTCCCTCATTGGCAACTCCAGCTCTTCCGGGGCCTCTCCAACCTGGACGATGTCACCGGTATGGAACAGCTTCCCTGTCTCAAGCTCCTGCACCAAGTAGCCAGGCGTAGTCATCGACATCGTGACCGCAGGGCATAGCACTCGGACCTGAGTTCTGGTCGTCGACAGGTATTTCTGCCTGTCACTGTAGTACTTCCTCTTGGCCCACACCACCTGGCCAAACGGGACGAGTTCTCGCCTTTTCCACCCCATCGACTCCAGCTGCCTCCTCAACCGGCCCTCCGCCCAATGCCTGGCGGCATGGCACCAAAAACTCTCATCCAGGCTTGCCTCGATGAGGAGCGTCCGTGCCCCCCTCTTGACCTGAGCAATCGCATTCTCCGCACGGCCATTTCCTTTGAAGTTGTCGCCGTCATTGAATGTCCTCATGATGCTCCTATCATGGCACCACTTCTGAAAGGCACGGGACTGATACTCTCCCGCTCGATCTGAGTGGAGTCGTTTGACCGGGAGGCCCAAGAATTCCAACTTTGCTGCCATCCTTCCGATCGCCTCCACTACTGCCGGACCTCCTCTGTTCTCCAGGATCTCGACGATCAGGATCTGTTTCACCTGGAAGTCACCCTCCATCTCAACTCTTTCCAACCAGGCCTTCTCATCATCAAGTCCCGGCCATTCAGTCCCGGAGCCCTCCCGATCCTCTTCACCCTCGACGACCGTCAAGTCCGGACCATCACCCAAGGCTCCAGCCAGCTCATCATCCTCGTTGATGGGAATGAGGGACTGCCCTTCCTTGGTCACAGGTGCCAGGTACACTCCCACCAGCAAGTAGCGGCCCTTGCCCAGTTGATCCTCCGCCAATTGGAACGGTCCGGCGGTATCAATCGAGAGAGTGTAGGCGTCCGGGTGCGAGATGCGCTTGTGGGCCTTCCCTCTCGATGCTGCGATGACGCAAGACTTGCATTCTCTACTATATGGTACATGCCCATTCAAGAGATGTCTCTTCCAAGCGTCCAGGTCCATCCTCTTGATCTGAGGCTCCTCCTTTCCCAACTCCTCACGCACCGCAACCACCAGTGCTGCTTTGAGGCCCGGCGCCCATGATGCCCAGGACCTCGACCGAGCAATTCTCGCCTGGATAGAGTCCCCTTGGTGATCATCTCCCCCCTGTCCTGGTCCTCGTAGTCCTTCCAACTCGAGGAGCCTTGGCATGTTGGTTCCAACCCTTGTAGGCTTTCTCCGGGCGTGTCCCATCGGGCCTTGGTCGAACCGCACCTCGAACAGCTTCCAGAGGTTCTTGATCTTCTGCCATTCCGGCCAGCTCCAATAGGTCGGGTACCTGGGGTGGCCGCTCAACTCCCTTGGCTTCCCGCCCTCCTCCATGTTCTCCCCGACCGTCTCCCCGGCTCCCATCTTGGCTCCTCCCAAGTAGGCCTCCGGATCATCCGGCTGTTCCAAGGCTGTCACCACCTTTCGAGGTTGAGCCGCTCTCGATGCCCGGTGGTGAAGGTAGATCTGTCTCAACCAGAGTAGGGTGTCATCTTCCACCTGTTGCCTCAGCACCGGATCCAGGTTCGGCAATCCAAACCTCCCGGGACCTTCTCGTTCTCGAAGTGGAGGTGGCCCCGGCTGTCGATATCTCAGTCTGCTCATCGTCCTGCAGGGCGGTCCCCCCAACAGCGCTCGGAGGGTGCCACCGTCGGCAATCTCTAGCAAGTAGGCAAAGACGTCGTCCCGGAGGATGTTCATGCCGGGATCGATCACCGTGTCCACACATAGAACTGCCCTGCCTTCCGACTCGAGCTCCCTCTGCCAATATTTCTTGGTGTCTCCACTAAAGAGATGCACCACCACCTCACGAGCCTTGCGGACACGTCTCCGCTCATGTCGGTTCCAAGGGATCGACTCCCCCCTCCATCCGACCTTCGGCAGGATCCTCACCAGCAGGCGACGCGGGACTTCTGGGAACAGCTCTCGGAGCTCCTTGAGATGGTGAATCTCCCCCAGCTCAAGATCACTCTGGTTCTCCTCTCCGTTCAGCACTGCCAACCTGGCTCTCTCCCGAACCATACTCCTCTCTATCTCTGCGATGAGCTCTCTTCCCAAGCCTTCCCCGACCGTAGGGCACATGCCTTCGATCGCGACATCCAGCAGTGCGCCACTCGGGTCCGTCAGCGTGAAGCGCTCCTTCTCCCAATAGGCCTCATAGCCAAGCGAGATCAAGACGCCAAGCGGCACGATGGTCTGGACATCGTTCTGTGTGAGAAGGGTCTTCGTCCAAGGAAGCTGCCTCAACACCACCGATCCCTCCGCAAGCTCCACTCGGACCTCTTGGGCCCTCATCCATTCTTCCTCCGACTCCGCCTTCCTGAGGCAGTGGGTTGCTCCTCCATCGAGGAGGGCCCGATCTGTGGTCTTCACCTCCAGACTACTCAGCTTGACCGCCTTCAAGGAAGCCCTACCATCCCCAGCCGGTCTCAAGCTCTTCAAGAGAGTAGTGGCCTCCGACAACAATGCTTGAACTTCTCCAGAACTAGCTGCCGGCTTTTCCACTCTCTTCTCATCCACCATCTCCTCAACCGAGGGCGCCTGGTTCTCGATCACGGGCTCCCGCTCGTTCTTCTTGGCCCCACCACCCTTCTCAGTCTCCTTCTTGACGGTCTTCACCTGCTTTTCTCCATCACCTTTCACCCTTGTCGCAGGGCACTCCTTCTTGGTGTGTTTTGTCGAGGAGCAGCCAAAGCACCGACCTTTCTTCTCCAGGCTTCCCCATTCATGCTTGAACCGGCAATCTTGCCCCTTCCGGCAGCCGTCTTCAGACCCCCAGAACCGGCAAACTCTTTCTTCCTGCTTGCCATCGCCCTTGGACTTTCCAGCCCCTTTTTCCGGCTTCTCCTCAAAGACCGTGGACATTGCCTTGACCTTGGTGGTCGGGGGGTTGGACTTGACCTCATTCTGGGGCTGGATTTCGCTGATGGCCAGTGCCTCTGCCTCAGCTGTCAGCATATCCGCGAAGTTCAGCACGGATTCCAGCGTAGGAGTCACGTCCACCCCCAGCGCCGCCCTAGTAGCAGAGGTCCGGAATGCTGCCTGGTTCGATGCCTTGACAATTTGTTCAGACATCTTGTCCAAAGCCCCCAGAAGCAAAGTCGAATCCGGGGTCGCAATCTCAAGTTCCTGAGCTCGTCGAAGACTTCTCCGCCATCCCCTGAGGAGTTCCACCGTCTCATTGAGTCCCTGTGGTGTTTTCGGCTCCACCAGCTGGCGCAGAAGCCTGGATCTCTCAGCCAGTCCTCCTGGCTGATACCTCCTGAACAGAGCATACAGCACGTCCACCGAACTTGAAGCCCTGTTCGCCAGTGTCTCTGCTCGAATGGAGTTCGGCACGGCATTCAGCAACATAAGCTGTCCCCTCTGCTCCAGCCTGCTCCACACTGTACCACACTCTGCCGGCACTTGTGTCTTGATGTGAAGCCGCTGGACTGGCTCAGCTCTCAGCCATTCCCTGTAAGCCGCCATGGCCAACTGCAGGACTTCCTCCCACCATTTCCATGAAGTGGCGCTCAAATCCCTCATAGTTGGGGAGATGAGTTGAATCCAATCTCCCAACACCAGCGACCCAAGCTCCCCTTCTCTCATCTCCGGTAGGGGCGGCAGCTCCACCGAACGAATGGATTCTCCCCAGCCACCATCGGAAGCTCCTGTCCCCAACTGTCTCAACACCGACTGGGCAGCTTGCTCCAACGGCGAACCCTTGCTCAGGTCCCCATTCTTCACGGCGCAGTCCGGAAGTCCTCCACGACCCGGTCCTAGCCCTCCTTGGGTTCCGTGATGTGGAGTTGCAAATCCCTCCCTGTTCTCAAATCCGCGACCCTGCCCTCCAAGAACTCCCGCTTGAATGGCACCCAGCCACGATTCTGGTACCGGAGGAGGTCCACGTCCAACTTCATGAAGTTCTCCCGAAGGTCGATGAACCGCATGCTGTAGTCCTCCATATCCATCTCCAGGAAACTCTGGAATCGCTCCCAGGGTAGTTGTGCCCACCTTCCTTTCAGCCTCCGGAGTGGTGGGTGGTGGACCTGTCGGCGGACTCGGTGGAGGGGTCGACGATGGAGGTCTCGGTCGATCCGCCTCCTTGAAACCCCGATCCTTCTCCTTATTGGAGTCCTCAATCCTCTTCTTCAGGTCAGCCAGCTCCCTTTTGAGCATCGAATTCTGGGCCATCACGGCCTTCATCACCTCTTTGAGCTCCATGCCCACCGAGTCGTCGTTGGTCGTCTCCCCCATGGATGGTGCCGAACTCTGAGGCAGAGATGTAGGTCTCATCGCCCGGAGCATTGCCTCGTCCTTCATCGTCTGGGACCAGAAGGGATTTACCAGTGGGGCAACCACCCCACCACACCCTTTTCCATCCTTCTTCCGAGACTCCTCCCGCCTCTGCGGGCCATACGAGACCGGCTGCCCCACCGGGACCATCTCCCTTGAGGCGACCACCATCGTTCCCAGGTCCCTGGGAACATCTTCCAAAGCCAAGGTGCCGCCCTCCTCCTTCGCGGACTCCATGGAAGATTCCCCTTCCGGGGACTCGCCAGCTGGCCCGCTGCTCCGCTCGCGCGGCATGGCGGCCAACAACCAACTCGCTCGCGCAGCGATGTTGGGTGGTCTTCCTACCCCAACAACGCTTTTGGGCTCATAACCCGCAAAACCCTCGGCGACCGCTTTTGTCGCCGCTCGAACAAAAGGGCTCCATTGGCCTCTAAGTTGCATGACCTGACTTGGTACACTTCTCGATTTGGTGCTTCTGGAGAAACAATTGGTGTGTATTTCATGGGTGTGTATTTGATATGGGTGTGCATTTCATTTTAGGGGGATCCCCAATTCCATGGGTTGAAAGGTCTTTTGGTCCACGGCCTCCCTATTTCAGGTCCATTTCTAAAGGTCCAGCAGGTCGGAAGCCTTGAGTTCCATGTCCTCTTGCGTCTCGCTCCCTGAACATCATATCTCATCCAATTGCAAAGGGGTGGTATTTAGCCGCCAAGTGAGCTAGTGAAACATGGGCCCTTCCTCACCTCCAAGATCTAGGTGACCTAGCTGAACGTCAGATGACCTTCAATGCAGCTTCCGAGCGCCTTAGGCCGCACACGACACGGTGAACCCCTGCGACCCGGCCAGATATTTGAGACCAGCTCGGGGTGCCCGGATGGAGCGAAATAGCGTGGATGCCAGAAAAGGGACGAAAGGCCATTGGAGGTGTCGATGGCCATTGGGTATGCAGGTCATGAGTCGAACTTCTTGGGCCATGGTGTCACAGGATGCGTAGCATGAGTCGTTTATAAAACCATTGGGGGTTGGGCGGCCACAGTTGCCATTGACATCCATTGACTCACAATAATTGTTATTTGTTTTTCCAAGGGCTGGGGCTTCCAGAATTCCCCTCAAACAAAGCCGGCCCCATTGGTTCTGTTTGGCGATCCCTGTTCAGTTGGCCGTCCAGTTGTCGTTGAGGAGCGTTGAGGAGGCACAAAAGTCGCCCAGTGAACAAGAAAGCAATTCTAACATATTCTAATTCAATTCTAATTGAATACTAATTCTACTTTTTGATTCTAATCCTTGTCACTAATAGCTTCTTGTTAGTAGTAAGGCCAGGAGCCCCAAAAAAGCGTCCTTGTTCCTATAGTATAGCTTCCTCTACCCACAGACATGCTCAGACGCTTTGACTTCACGGACTGGACTCCCGTCCGGTTCCGCAGAGCTGGCGAGCCTCCTCACCGCGCAGAATTCGGGTTGATCGTTGGAATTGACCATTCATCCAACCATTTAACCATTCAACCATCTACCAGGCTTTACCATCCAATCATCCATGAATTTAAGATTACCGATCTACTCATCATCACTCATCTACTGTGTGTTTTGACACCTCCCCCAAAAGTTGAGAAAAGCAGCGCTCACATCGGCGGTTTTTGTAGGCCGATTTGCTGAAGATTGACTTCGGCGTTCACGTTTGGAGCCCCGGGGGATGGATGTTCTGCCATCAGGGATAACATCAACTGGTCGCCAATGGTTCGACCTGGGACAGGGTCCAACAACCCTCAACTGACAGCCTGTTGGAGGGTGCTGGTGGAGTTGTTTGTTTTTGTTTCTGTATGCTTGTATGTTTGCATGGTGTTTTCAGTTGTTTGTTTGACAAAATTTGAGGGCATATGATCGTTCCAGCAACTGAGCATTGAAAATTCACCCATTCTGGGCGGTGCAAACACATATGTATTTTCATTTAAGTATTGTGATTCCCCGGAATGGGCGGCTAAAAAGAGGATGGATCCATTGTATATAATTCCCAAAGCTCTGGCCAGTCCGGTCCAAACGATTGGTGACTGCCTAAGCCGAGCCAAGCCTAGCGTACCTCGGCGTCCGAGCTTACGCCGTCGCCATGGATTCAGGTGGAGGGCCACATCTTGGATTGCGCCTTCTCGATGTCTTTTGATCCCATGCACGATGAGCCGGGAGTCCCGTCGTGTCACCTTGAAAAAGTTCACGGAACCTTTTGGGTCCACGGGAATCTTTTTGTCCTCGTCCCCAGTGGCTTAGGAGAAAAAATCTATATTCATGCACCAATTTGGCGTCCTCAGATTGCAGACTCAGCAAATCACGTGTCCAGATCAAGCAGTCAGCGCCCCTAAATAGGATGTATAAACTGAACCTAAAGACATGTATGTCAGGACCATCCAACGGGTGCGCATGGAGATTCCCAAGTAGCTAGTGTAGAGTAGTCCATTGGACACCCAGACAAGATGGTTCAGCTTTGTTTTGACTCGTGACGGATGGCGCTCGAGCTCTGTTGGCGTTCGTCGTCTCACTGTAGCGTCTCACTGCAGCACTGCGCTGATCCCATACACTCCATGTATGGAATATATGCCTACAATGACCCCCCAAAACCCCGACTCATCGGCAAAAGATGGGAGTCCCATGTGTCGCTTCCTTCGCTCAAGCGGATGGTCCAGCACTGAGGCTTATGCGAGCGGTGCAGGAAGCAACAGAAGAGGGCATCAGGCAACGACAACCGAGACCACACGGGAATGGGGGTGACAGTTCGGAGCCTCCAACAACTAGCTCTGGAAGCTTCATGTTCTAAACATGCAGACCCTGGTGGAAAACTAAAGCAGGTAAACAATTGAAGCAGTTCAAATGGGAAAGAACACAAAGATCATAAGAGACAGAGACGTCTTCATCTCCAAGGGATTTGGATCATCCAGGTACTACCCCACCCACCCTACCAGGTCATGAACAGAATAGTCGGAATAGTCGTGACTTGAAGAAGTTGAAAGGACGTACATCCCTGAATGGCTCGGTTTTGGAATGTATCGGGAGTGCAGATCCTGTGCTGGGAAGCTAGGCCCTGGAAGGCCATTGCTTTGTAGATGAATTGAGTGTCCAGGCACCTGTATACGCGGGTACTTGCCCTGCTATTTCCCAAGAGCTCCCAGGAGAGACTTACATACCTCCTCCCTCAAGGTGCCTTAAGCCCACCAGCGGTGGCCTCTGAAAACGAAGCATTGGTTTGGGAGGCTCCTTTTGGTTCTGGTTCTGGGTCCAACAAAACTTGCACCTCTTGCAGTCTGGCAGATATGCGATACCATGAGATACCCTATGAAATCTCTCCTGTTCCAGCCGGATCCGCGGATCAGGCAGGCAGGCCACGATGTGCGGATCAGCCACGTGAGCCGATGTATCCAGGAGGTCATGGAAGCGGCCGAGGCGCGGCGCCATTCAGCGCAGTTGGAAGAACATCGCCCTAGGGCTCCAACCATATCCTCAGAAGGTGGTTGGGGTGGGTTTGGGGGGCCTAACCACCTTCTGAGGATATGGTTGGAGCCCTAGGGTCGGAAGAAAAAGGGAGGGAAAGACCTCAAAAGCGCCACACCAGTGGTGTAAACAGCCCGAAGAGTTTGAGGGCAGGGGCATCGGAGCATTCCGAGTGAATGTGGGGGAAAGGTGGGACATGTGAAATCAGGAAGACCATGGAAGACCTTTAGTGATTTTTGGGGTTCAGATAAGCAATGAGTTGCAAGATGTTACAAGTAATCAGGTAACTGCAGGAGCCAGCCCTTGTTCTGCAGGCCTGCGAATCAGACATGCTCAGAGCCAAGACGCATATTTATGGAACCAGCCAGTGCAAAATATATACTTTGACTTCCAAGCAGCCCTTGAAGCATCAATCGTAGGAAAGGTTCATTGTAGCTGAGGTAGCAGCTGGTAGAACTAAAACAAAACATTTGCACTGTCGATTTGATGTTATGTTATACCGAAGAAACCTTGTTTTGCTAAGGATTTTAGACTGTGCCAGGTCAACCAAGCTCTTTAAATGGTCTTGGAGTCTTGGAAGGCTAGGGACCAGGAGATGGGTGACACACGGATCAGAAGCTGGAGAGCTGCATGCTTTCACTGCCCTGGCACCGACCAGGTACATAGACCGGACGGAAAGGTCTTGCCGGTGAAGGTGGCATCAAGCCGGGTTGCTTTTGGATGTTTGGTCGTGCATTTTTGTCGACAGAGGGTGGGAAACTCTTGCTGGGAGATGGTGGGTTTAGATTCTGCAAAGACGTGTATGTTGTTTACTATTGCAAAATCTTGTCTTTCCGATGACCACAAGGAGCAATACATTGTCTATCATTTTTTGCATTTGCATGTCCTCTTGGAAGTCGTGCCATTCACCTACGTATCCAAGTACCGGGAGTTCCTGCCCATCCACGGTATTCTGGACAATGATAATGATTCTTACAATACAATTCTTTGAGCAAAGACTCACTTCAATCATTCCGCCACCAACTCCAAGCGACGGCACGTGCGTATTTGACACTGGCGGGATCGTGTTCTCCTATTTTCCCAACACTACATTACAATGTGTCATTCTTTCGAAAGTCAGAGCGTATAGTAACCCTACATTTTGTCACTGATCAGCTGATCAGCTTTGTGTTCATCCGCCTCTTCATCCTGGATCGGTGCATCCAACACCAGAGGCAGGCAGGCTTCGTGTCGCAGGTGATCAAGAACCTCACGGGGCACCTCATTGGTCCTTACAAGATCCATGCAGGAAAGCAGGGGACCCCGGTGTTGGCTTGAGAACTAGGCTCTGACCTTCATCTGGAAGTCGGCCAAAACTAACTGTGGGTCAATGGTTGACCACTGAACATGAGCAGATTCCTCTATAAGGGATGTCTTCCCGAGGTTTTGACCCACCATTTGGTGCCGTGAGATGACGATCAGAAGCCAGAGACGTGCTTGGAACGGGCCAACGGAAGAGAAAAGATGGGGATGCTCTTCGACCGTGTTTCATGTGATGGGCAAACCACTCTTCGGAACCGGCCGGATGGTACGACCAGGTCCTTGCTGGAACCCCCAAGCAATCTTTTGAAAGGGGGTAGGGGCTAGGACAAATTCACATTTCCAGTACAAGTGGGTAAAACATGATCAAATATGATATGGATTATATTGTTTGTGAGAAAGGCCTGCAACCTAACCATCATCATCCACTCCCAAAAGGGCATTTATAGTGTCTTTCTTCCACATCTCCACCGCCGTTCCCTTGGTTTCATCCCACATTTTCGTGCAGTCGCACCTGTTTTTGCGGCTCGTCGTTTCATTTCGATGTGATGTGACCATGTTTTTGTCCAAGGTACGAACTCGTGCGCGACCGTCAAATCCGAGAACCATCCCGTCGATACGTGCGCGGTAACCGGTCACGCTCGTCGATACTCGTCGCGGAGGTCTTTACCATCGGTGAACACGGGGGACCAGGCGAGCTCCGCCGGGAACGGCCGGGAGTTGCGTCCCAAAAAGCCCACGGGACTTGGGTGGTTTTTGGACACCCCGAACCACCTCTTTAAGGGGATTATGCATAGGCACCTCATGGTCAGGCCTTGGTCCGGGTCTTCTGTTTGGGAAAATACCATGAAAAGACTGGGCTGTTTGGTGGTCCAAAAGCCGCCATTCTAGGTGTTCAAAAGTGGGAGTCAACATTCCTGCACAAAGAACCACAAAGGCTCTTTTGAGGTTCGACATTTGTTGGTGCCATTTGTGATCCGTAATTTGTTGTGTTGGCATTGCAGCCAGCGAGGTAGAAGCTAGAACTCTTTAAGCACTGTAATTCACTATATAGTTGTGGCATTCAGGAGACCATGCTACATCCTTTCATATCCTTGGTATACTCTATGTTTTCAGGAGTGAGATGGAGTTGGGTTTGTGGTTTTGTGACTTGCTTGACGCGGACTCACTACTTAATGTGCATCCCTTGGAGCTCAATGGTTGCAGCAATCAACAGTTAGTGGCTTACTACTATGCCACCATGCAAATCAGGTGGTCGGGGAATCAAATACAGTCCAATGAACAACATGACAGGTTGCTTCGGCGTATGGATCTGAAAGGAACGGATTTGCCCAGGTCAATGGCAAAACTTTGAGGGTATTCTTTGCTCTCGGTTCTGGGGGACTTGAGATACCTTCCCAGTCAATCAGTCAGTCGACCTGCATCACCGTGCTAAACCTTTGGTGTTTGGTTTCCCAAATGAAGTGGACGCTTGTTGAGGGGAGGTTGAACGAATTATTCAGATGATCCAGAGCGTCCTAGATTGATTGGCCTTCGTTTCTAACCGAGATCTGCAGAACATGCTACATGCATCCAGATGCGGCGGATGGCGACTACGTTAGGCATCACCGTTCGCATGCGTGCTATGCATCAAGGGCATAATTATGTACATGTGTTTCTTTAACGGCTTGAAGCGAGCTCCAAGACAAGAGCTCACAGTTGTGGCAGGTTCTGGCAGGTTCTGGCACACAACAAGATCCTGGTCCTTGGGTCCTTGGCACCTTGGTTTTATAATGTATAATAAGGTATATAATGTATTAATTATATGCTTTGGCTTTGTGCCTGTTATCGTGGGTCAAACCTTCTCATTTTTATTTTGCAGAGCCAACCTTCTTGGTATAGGTTCCGTGAACCAAATTATTTGCCCAGTTGTAACTGAAATAGGCATGATATGGAACTCTCCGCCATACTCTATTTTTATGCTAGGATAAATTAAGAAGACCAGAGCCCCATTGGTTGAGCCGGGGAACTTGCACATTTGGCGACAGAGCCTTCTGTTTTTCGTTGGTGAACATTGGTGAACCTTATGTGTTGCGCTGTCTTGTGCTAGAGTCTTCCTTTTTGCCTCGTACCAGCCGCGCCCTGCAGACACGGATGCTGGCCGGAGAGTTGTGGGCAGTGGAGGGCTGAGAGTGTCATGCTGCAGAGAGTGACATTGAGTTTTTGTTCTCAACGGAGAAGATGCTTGGACAAATCTCTATGCAGCGTATACACTGATGAACATGGCATGGCAGTGGGCATTGGGAAGACGACTTGCCTTCTTCATGATTAGGGGTCAGGTCCCTCCTAGTTCCCACATATATTAAAGTATCTAGAAGACCCCTGAACAAAACCAATTACCATGTCTTTTTTTGGGGGGGTCCTCACTCTCATCCACACACCTGGACCGCTGCCGGACCTCGTACCCTGAAAACAGGACATGACCCAAACCAATAACAGCATACTCACCATTTTGAAGGATCTTTTTGCACCCACGGTCGGGTTCGTTTATAGACACCCCTCAGCCTCTAAGCCCTAGGGATCCACCTTCTCAGAAGGTAAGACTGGGCCCTCCAAGTCTACATAATAAATAGTCTCCCTGCTCACCTTCTCAGAAGGTGCCAATGGATCCGTAGAAAAGGGGGTTTGTCTTACACGTCCTCAGGTAGGGACTCACCCTTCTGGCACCATCCCAACCACTTCCAAAACCGGATCTGGTGTCGCCTGGTCTCACCCGAGGCAGTCGATTCGATCGAGCTTTGCCTCCTCCGGACGTCGAAAAGGTGGAAACCTTTGGCTCCGTGGGCGGCTTCGGCTACGTGGGCAACGGAGGCGGGTGGGTATCCACGGCAAACTGGCGAAAGGAAAAGACATAGTTGAAGGACTCGTTTGAACAACTTGGGGGACCACCAAAGGATGGTCCTAGACTCAGGTAGTTCGACACACCTTTATTATTTAGGTCCGTGAACCACACTAACATCCGCAACCGAAATGAACATAGGCTGAAGAAGCACGTTCGTAAAAATGCCAGTGGCTCACCAATAACCGCCCATAGTTTGTGTATAAGCGCCTGTGGAATAAGAAAAATCAGAAAACTAGTAACTCGAGAAATACCCAGAGACTCAAAGATAAGGCCGTGACTCCAAAATATTGTTTGCACGCAGATCCAAAAAGAATGCACACTGAGGAAGTTCCAGGTATGTACGTGACAAAAATATGTGCAATACACCCGCATTCATCCTCATCCTCTCCTCTCCTCTGAGCTTGTTCAACGTGTCCCAGGCAACTGCTCGCACTTCATGCGCCCATCGAGCGCAGCACCGACATGGCAAAGGCAGGGGGCCCCCTGCAGCGATCCGCCTTGCTTTGCCGCACCAAAGGCAGCAATGCTTTCGGATGAGGTACTTTTGGATCACCAGGCTACGACCCCCAAGGCGTTTTTGACCCGGCTACGACCCCCTTCTGGCTCAGTTCGTTCGGATCCTCCGTCCGCAGCTCTGGGCTTCGTTTGGACCCGAACCAACGAACGGGTGACATGGACCGAACCAACATGTGCCAAGTTGCTTCGGGTCTGGGCCATGACGAAGACAAAGGAATTTTGCCCGTTGCGACCGAAGGCCTTTTCGTGTGTTCTTCGCATCAGGCGCTCGAAAAACAGATCATGTCGGCCACATTCCTGGCAAATGTGCGCAGTGGGTCAATGAGTCACAGGTTTTGTTGTGGCATCCAACAAACCGCATTCATTCCTACCTGGACCTTCAAGGGGTGTCCAATGGAGGTCCCTTAGTGGTGTAGGGGCTTCCATTGGTGACCCCTTTGAAGGTGCTGGTATATATAACTTAAAATTGATTGTGCATCTTGGGTCATCGATCAAAGCATCTCTTGTGGGAGGCATACAGACATGCTCACTGTATCTCACAGCACAATTATGATGCGAGGCCGAGGCCCCTTCAACTACTGTGTAGTAGGTTAAACTTGTTCTTTCAGCTTCCATCCATGCCTTCACTTTTTGGCCGGGTCAAAGTTTGATGTGAACTGTGAAATGTCACGGTTCATGGTGGAGCACGCGAGAAGGCATGTTTTTCTGAAGTCAGGATTTGAGAAGACGACTGGTTGACATGGGTATGGGTTAAACCAAAGCCAAAGACACAAGCACACGTGATTTACATCGAAGCAAGATCAACATGTGGCCTGTCATATTGAAACCCTAGGGCTCCAGTCGTACCGTTCCTTTCGGTAGGACTGGGGTGGGTGCCAGGACGGCCCTAGGGGAAAGTGTTTATTCTATCTTCCAGTGGTCAACCATCCGCTTCACCGCCGTCACCGCCAGCCCAATGCTGAGCTCCAAAGCGATCAGTCTGCCGGGACCCCCAAAATACCACAGACCTGGAACCAAGCTCGGTGTTTTTTTTGGTTGGTATAGTGCAACATACCTGAACATATCTGAAAAAAAACGAGGTTTGCGAATGTGAACCACTTGTAAATCACGCTGAGCCCACTGTCCTTGGGGTTTTTCTTGAGTCTTGCCCACTGGGTCACGGGTGGCCGACACTGGGCACCGGGTGCACTGGAGCTCCATCAGCTATGATCAGCTTCTAAGTCCAGCAAAATGCTTGATTTCTCATTCTCCCAAACGTTCCATGTATACGCAAATAATTAGGGCCTAAAACAGGTTTAAAAGAAACCATGCAATGGTCCCAAAACCTGTCATGCATACGCCATATTTGCATGGAGCTGGAGCGTTTGGGAGCATGGCTCTTCTCGCTGCGGTGCGCCATCGGTCGGGTTGGTCTGAGGCTGGAACTCATCGACCGGCGTTTCGGCACCTTAGCCTTCTGCCCACGCTGGCTCGTGCAGGTCGGACGGGAAGAACACATGGATCCCATGTCTGTGCTTGCTTCCCATGTCCAGTTTGTAGTTGCCCAGGTTGAACACACAATGCCGATGACAGTGCCATGGAGTGTTTGGGTACTGTGACCATTCCTCGGACCTTCATGCTTGGGGTGGACGATCCCGGAAGACTTCGCCGGAAATGTTGGAGATTCCAGCATCGATGCAGCCAAACGATCGTTGGTGGTTTGGTATCACATGAAGTTCTGCATTCTGGCACCCTTTTGATCATTCCAAAGCCGAAGTGATCTATTGCGTTCGCACATTGCAAGCTATATCAAGCTATAGATAGACAAGCTATAGATAGACTGCAGGTGCCCGAACAGAAGTACCGCGACTGCGGTGACTTGGTTGGTGTCCTCCTTGGATCGGCCGCTCCGCAGGAGGGGGATCGCAGCAAGATGAAGATGGCCAAAGGTAGCCAGGCGACGGGGCGGACGGTCGCCAGGGCTCCTGTCCTTTCTGGTGTTCTGTTCGTTTCGTGGTTCGAGCGGCTAGCTGAAATCTGAAGAGAAATCGGAAGAGAACCCCGTCATTGGCTATGCTTTCCAAGTGGAATCGGTTGTGGCATCTATGGCCCTCATACCCCACGAAGCACCGCTCGAACTCCTTCGCTCAGAGGGTGTCTGACAAGGATTCACTTCCGGGTGCCAGGGCGGACGACCATGAGTGGAGATGTGTGAGGATTACACTCTGACGAACACATCACATGGAAGTGGATGGCATGGTCTCTTGGAAGACTACTTTCCTTTACGAATAGGGGGGGTTCCACTTCCATGTTAGTGAGTCGGAGTGTATTGTATGACCTAGCACTTCCAACCGGTGTCCTGTTTGGAGACCCAGCTCGGCGCCGCGTAGGGTAGTCCAGCCTGGTCACCCCGCAGGGAAGCAGCTGGTCTATCCATGTAGATCATCATCTTCACTGATCCCAAGAACCACCTGTCATTGTGCACCGTCAGTGTTTTTGTTTCATTGATGACCGTTTCGGGGCCAGGTGAAACCACCACGTTCCCGTCCGCCTGGCCTAGACCTCGAGGTCTAGGTGTAGGCTTAGTAAGGGAGGCTGGATCCATAGAGACCCTCGCAATAGAGAGATGAAATTGGGGAGACACCTTGATGATCCTTGATGTAGGTGGTCGGTCTTAGAGGGTCCAGGAGGATACTGAACCTGAGAGAAGTTGGATTCGTGGCATTCCTAGGGGTTGCTAGTCAAGTGATGAGTATGGATGTCAATTGTTTGATGATTACTTTCGAAGCAAGAACGTTGACCTGATCCTATGCCTGATAGGATATCGTCGAGCTCGTGCATGTTTGGCATGGGCTGAAACAGTGCTAGCGGAGTTGTAACTGTAGCCGTCAACCTGATCCCATGCCTGATAGGATATCGTCGAGCTCGTGCACGTTTGGCATGGGCTGGAACAGTGGTAACTGTAGTGTTTGTACTATCAGCACTAATTAGTAGATGAAGAGATGAGCGCCCATGTTCAATGTCTTCCAAAGTTTCTTTTGAGGGTGCTTCTTCCGCTGGCGTGTGTACCCCCACAAGCAAATCACATAGATCGCATAGATGTTTGTTGTGATATGCCTTGCTAGGGCTCCAACCACATCCTCAGAAGGAGGTTGGGGTGGGTGCCAGGGCGTGTAACTACCTGAGGATGCGCCTGGAACACTAGAAATAGTCAGACCACGAGGGGCTAGTACCAGCACCTCCCAACAGAGTCGTGGTTTTGGGACTCTCCACCGCAAAACCCCGTTCGGTGAGCCATCTAACAAAACGGTCATTTAAGAGACTGAGGTGTACTTAGGGACTCAGAACAGTCTTGAAGTACTTGAGGACGTTTTGAAGTTTGGTGTACTCCGTGCTTGCCCAGATGTGGTGGTCTGCTCCCTTAGATGAGCTTTGCAACCTCGGAGTGGTGAATAGGCGCACAGCGGCGCGCAGGGCGGGTGGATGGATTTGTTGGTGATCCGTGTTCAACCCAACAATACCAGGGCCCTCAAGTTTGGGGCCCTATTATATAATAGCTCCAAAGAGGTCAGCTGTGGGTCCTGGTGTGTGTGCTATACAATAGGAGATCCCACTCCCGACTCCCAAACATGTGTTTTAGCCTATGTTTCCCTTAAAGGACCATTTGCCGGTTCAAATGCACTCACAAGACCCATATCTTTGAGTCTCTTAGGGTCTGACCAGGACATTGGCAAAGGCGCGGACTGCTCATTATCGAAAAGATGGCCCCATTCCAAACAAAGCAACATAGATACATACATACCTAGCACTTCCAATGGGTGTCCAATGGAGACCTATAAATAGGTAGTGTAGGGTTGTCCGTTGGTGACCCGTTGGAAGCAGCTGGTATAGCCACCTGCCAGGCCACGGCGATATCCCGTCAGCTCGCGTCAGATCGACCGGAGATCGGTCGTGAACCTCGTGCTCCAGGTATCCTCCCCTGGCCGACCTTCAGGGCTCCTACACCGCGCAGTGCCCCGGGCATTCGACCCTTCCCGCTCCGGGATTCACCGGGCATGGTGGGTTCAACTAAAACCGTGGACCTTGAAACCCTTGAAACCCACTAGAACGCAATAAATGGCTGCCTGGTATCCAGTGGGAAAGAAATCAAGGTGCAGTGGCCGATCTTGACCCGGGTTTGTTCAAAGTGGCGATACGTACCTTGATTCATTAGAGACTGGCTTTGTTGAGCCTTCTTGTGCATGATTTCTGATATTTTCTGACATACAATGTGCATGTATGGGCAGATGTCATTTCACTCAAACCCGGCCGTTCTGAGTTTCTTTGGTGTTTATGGTTTGGTAGGTTTGAAGACTGACATTTTGATCATGTAATAATATAACAATGTATAATAACATACCCAACATATAATATATATATATAGACCCCTGTGCACCCTGAAGCTGGGTGTCTAAAACATAAGTAAGTAAGGTCCAGGTGTGAGGCCGATGATAGGTTTGAGTGTTCCCCGCCTCCTTATAAGCAAATTCATTTCATGCATGGGCGTCATTGAAGATCTTGGAAGGGCAACGCGGCAACCAGAGAAGAAGTGCCTTGAAGAATCCAAAACTTGACACTGGACAGGTTGGATCATCGTTCCTGGGTCCCGCGGCTGTGTCCACCTTTCAGGAAGAGCTTCATTCATTCAATAACATGGGCCTGAAGCTTAAAGACTCGCTTGACGGAGCTGAAAAGGATCGAAGAAAAGACCTCAGGCCATGTCATTCTCCCCGACGCCCACTGGAGCCAGAACGGGACTTTGGGCGAATCGGCCCCCAACGTTCAAACAGAGCTGACTAATCTGACTACATCACCCTCCGGGCCCTGGTAGGGTCACGGGGTGATTGATCTAAGTCGTGAATCCCTTCCACCAGGTATGAGCATACCATCTTGCTGGGGAGCTCGGGGAAGGAGGCACCGAAGCAGCTCAGCCGCGGAGGTTTCCGGTACTGGACTGGACCTGCACAGATCAGGACGCCCTTGGGATGTCCGCCCTGGACGCCCTTGGTTGGTTGATTCGTAGCCCTGTTTATGGTACCCTGGCATCAACCACTCTATTCCCCAAGGACATCATTGATCCAGGGAGGTCGGGCCTAAATGGGTCGGGCGGTGGCCTCAGTTGGTTGATTCATCGAGGTGATCCCCCGAAGGCGAAGCATCCAATGTAATATATGATAATATATGTAATCCAATCGCACCTTCGATCGGTTTGTCCAAACAGACATTGGATTGGACCCATCTGAAGACGGGCCAATCCAATGTGTATATATATATATGTAATGTCTATATATGTAAATGGACCATTCAATTAGACCCATCCAATGTATGTAATCATCTTGTTATGCGCACCCGATGGTGCCCATGCGACCTTGCCAGCCGTGCCAGGTCTTGACGCGTGGAGCGACTCTTAGTTTTCCCGAACGTGGAGCGACGAAGAACGTGGCTGAGAGCCCAGTGCTGGCCATGACTGCCCAGTGCTGGGCTATGCGCCGCCAGCATGGCCGGCCGCAGGAGGCGGCCAGGTGGCCAAATTCGGGCCACTTCCCCATCCTGCACCAATAGAAATGCCAGCTGATGGTTAGGAGGAGCATGGAGGAGCCATCCAGATCAAAAAATCCCCATTCAGCAGGGACGTCGTTGGGGGCTACAGGGAAACCCCGAAGGAGGAGTTTTTTTAGAATGTGTATCTTCACGAGAAGGAGATCATCGCAGTCCTTATATAGTTCAGGAGGGAGAAAAACAACAAAAAAATACCAATTAACATCAATAGGACACACACGTCACATGACATAACAGGTTTAAACACATCTTAAAGCACATGAAAACAAACCAGCGCGCCCCTACTATTACTATAGCCCCTACTTAGATCTCCTTAGAGTTAGTCAGGGTGCGCGTTGACCACCCCGACTCGGTTTCGATCGACTCCTGAGGAACGGACTATTGAGCCCTTTCCGTCTTCTCAGAGACTTGGATGCAGTGATGCAGGATGATCTGTACAACTCCTTCACGGTGCCCCTGTGTTTTGATTCCCCGACATGATCTGTAGCCCGCACCTCCAATGTGAAGGCTTTGCTTCGGGTCTGGACCCCTAATTATCGTCTCGAGGTTCAGAAGGTCCGACCCCTGCCATGAGGTCGAGCCCGTATGGATTCTTGAGGCCCTACGATGGATTCTTGAGGCCCTATAGGACCTAACCCCCTGTACCCCGGATTGATGTTTGGCTGTGGGGCGCGACAAGCAGTCCACAAGTGGTCTTTGGTCAAGGAAACCGACACCGTTTCCGGTGGATTCGTCACAAGTGACCCTTAGTGAAAAATACATATGATCAATAAGGAGTCATGATTAAATTTAATGTCATCAGGAGCCATCATGTCATTGTCTTCTTGGGCGATCGGGGATTCAAAATCAGAGGTCGACACCAGTGGCAGCAAGACATTTCGTGATTCTGGGGACATTGCAAAGATTTTGGCATGAACCAATAGACGCCTATAGCGCTCCCATGGCCGGCAAGTCACCTGAAGCAGACGACTCCACTGTGCGGGTGCGTATCGATTATGAGACGCGTGGGGATCGCAGGGGCTATTTGCTCCTGGACCTGCATCCAGGTTGGGCTCCCTGGTCCTGCGATCTTTGGGTTGGTTTTGATAGATTTTGAGAGGATTTTTATGGATTTGGCATTGGAGAAGAGACTGGGATCCAAGATATAGCCAGACACTCCAAGGACTGCGCTGCAATTAGCACATGTGAATATACACTTCCCACAAGATAATTGAAACTTGTTAATTTAAAGCAGGCAGGGGAGCTTGGGCTGCTGCTGCTGCTGCTGCTGCTGCTGTCCACTTCCACATCCAGCTGCGGCAGAGGAGTCTAAGGAAAAAGGTTTGGATTCATGATTCGTGGTGGGTATACGGTATACTCCAAGAACCTGGGGCTTCTCAGCGTTGAGGTATGAACGCCCAGTGAACACAGAGCAGAGTGCATCAAACGTCTCAAAGCCAGGCTTGTTGCAGGGGAGCGAATTGCTACGTGTTGGCGCCTCGTGGTGGTGTGTATGGTCTGGTGTGTCTCAACGATTTTTCAATGACAAGGACTCCTTGTCATCCACAACGTGCACCCTCTGCAGAAATGCCGCTCTCTTCTAGCAGCGGCTGGTCATCCTGAAGTTTGTCGCAAGCCTTGCGGCAAGAGTCCACGTTCAACACCTGTGACCCAGAAGTGTACTTCCAAGACTGGCAGCAGAGGGCCAATCTTCTCCTGGTCACACCAGTCGGCTGTCAAGTTCACATGTTTCATGAACAGTCAGCCGGTCTAAGTAGCCATAGCCTCACACTCGGGCTTGCGCTGGTCTCCCCATCTTGCATGCTTCAAGAGGCTCATTGGCGCAAAGCAGGGTTCAGCATTGCGCCTGTTCCTGGTCGCAAGCCTTCACTGCCGTTATTACCAATGATCGTTGAGCTTCTCTTTTGCTAATGACTACTGATACGTGCAATGACTGACGCGTGATGCGGTAGTGTTTGTTCCCTCCTGACTTGTCTTGGTTGGCCACACCCATCGCTGTCACAGCCCTGCTTTGTTTCTGTTGTAGCCTTTCAGGGCTTTGGTGGATTCCACAACAGAGATCTCTCAAGGGCATGTGCTGGAAGTGGTCCAGATCGGATGTCATAATGTCAGATCCTCGCCAAGGGCGATGGTTCTCATCCACCCATGTGCCAAGAGTCATAGGATCGCCACCCGAACCTGAGGGCATCTCCCACATTTGTCTGACTCTGGCAGCTGCTGGGGGTGGTGGGGGGAGGGCCGCCACACCAGATAATCAACATGCAATCGTCATCTATCAACATGTAATGTTCAACATGTTTGAGTCATGTTTACATGCCCTAGATGCACCACAGTGGATGGTATTGTATGCAGTACCCCATTTCAGATATTTCAGGCCATTTTAAATGTATAGTGTATATTTATATTATATAGGTCAATATGCCGAAGTCTCATGGAGTGTCTTGGGATGTGGACTTGACGAAGGGGTGATTGACGGCACTTTGCTTTGACCCTATACTCTGCTGGGTTTGGTTTGAACATGACTGAACCTAGCTCTAACCGGCTCTAACCATGTTTTCGTTAACATTTGTTCTCCGTAAAGACCATTCTCTGTGGGTTCCCCATTCTTTGGCAGAGCTACTCAAAATTACTCAACCGTTTTGTGTGTTGTTTTCACTTTCAAGAAAGAACACTCAGGATCGCTTCCTGAAACTTGTGGACACGCACTTCCTGGATGGCCAGTATTTTTGCCGCGCCATCGAAGGCTTCGTGTTGGATTGGAACTACGGACCCTGCTCTGGGAGCTCCAATAGCACAGATCCGCACAGCCAGCTCTACAGCGAGTTGCCCTGGGCAAAGCCTTGCGAGATGGAAAAAACCGCCGGCGCCAAACAGCCCAAGAATCTGGCAGGAAGAATGTGTTTTGGTTTGGAGGATGATGGAACCACCAAGACGGAGGTCTGCGACAGGGTGAATATGCACACCTGTTTTGCAATGTGTCCTCCAAAAACTGGACCCTTTGAGTTACAATTTGCAATTATACAATGATTGTGAATCCAGCTGCACTATCAAGCTTCAGAACTTAAGAACCAAAAAAACATGGCTACCACCCAACTACCACCTTTTTTCACTCATCCACTCGTGCTTTGGCTCCAACAAGTCTTCCAACAAAACATCATTTGGACAACAATTTCTGTTTTCTGGGCACCCGATGCAGAGGTCTTCATCAACTTGGTGGACAACTCTGCACGCTTAGACTCTCTGGGATTTTGGCCCTTCGCCGAAGTGGTTGGTCTCGGTGAAGGCGAGGTGGGCCGTGTCGAGCGCTGGGAAGGGGGGCAGCTGAGCGACATCGTCATGGCGCATGGCGATATCTTCTTCGCTGGAGGCGCCTCTCAGGCAAAGGCGCAGGCGCGAGTGTTTTTCTGCGGGGGAAGTTGGTTTGAAAAGGAAGGTGTTTCTTTATTGAAGGATGGATACACTGAAGAAAGTCGGCCATGCTGAGAAGTAGTTGCTGAGTTATGTGTTTTGGGGGCTGAAGTCCCTTGAAGACTGAGTGATGAAGTGCCTTCATCTCCATCCGAAGTCCTTCACTTTCGATTTGAACCCGAAGCGCCCCAGGTGCGGACCCAGGTGCTTGTGGCTGGTGGCAACAGCTACATTGACAAGACCTATCCCGGCTTGAGCCAAATCATCCAATGTCGAAGAGTGGAGAAAGAGGAAACTCCAGCAAAGTCTGGTGACACATGAGTCAAGATGGACTCGGCAATGCCATTTCTGGAATGGAGCAGGATGCCAAAAAGCGGACCTGAGATTTGCAAGAGTGTTTGGGATATTTTTGAGAGTATAACAACTGACCAACCAACCTTGACCTCAAACCTCACTTGCCATGTCCAAACCAGGATCATCATCATCCGTCATTCTCTGGCACCAAAGGAGACCAAAGAGGACTCTGCACGGACCAACGGTGGACCATCGCTACAAATGGTCCGTCTAGTACTCTGCTCGCTCAAAGGAGCCCAGGGAACTTGGACTGGACCTGTCTACGGAAAGCTCCAAGGGTTCCTTTTGGTTCCTTTTGGTCTGCAAATCCAGCGGTCTTTCCACGGACCGAGGTCGGTCCGGTCCCTTTTTCGTGGGATAATTTGCTGCGAGTCGAAGCATGCGACGTGCGACGCATGCGGCTCGACTCAAGTTGGTGTCCAAACACCGGAGATATTCATCAGCCACCAGGCAGCCAACCCCATTCATCAACCGAAAGGAACACGCTAGCCTGCGACCAAAAACGGCCCAAGCATGACTTCGTGAGGGGAGAACGTGCTTTTTTTGTATGACACATCTGAACTCTTAAGTTTCACTGGTGGAAACCTTGTCGAATTGCCCAGGAACAGACGCAAGAGCTCACGCAGCCCCGTGCCGCCCCTGCTACGTTGCTTCATGGAAAAGAGTGCTTTGACTCGCCCAGTGTGTTGGCGAGCTTGGTGTGATGGCTCCTGGTGGGAAGATGTTTCTCCAACCAACACAACCTGAATAATTACATCAGAGCTTGCTTGGGAGAGGATTTTTATGGATCTTTCTTTGAGGGGTGGTCTGGCAATGTTGGGCAGTTCCGGGGATATTCCGGGGAGCAGGGGACACTGGACCAGTTGCTGCGGTCCACTTTTGGCTCGTTGAATTTGGCCAAGGTCGATCAATTAGCTGGACACGAATCAAGCCATGTGATGCCATGCCAGACTCGACCCCATGTTCTCAGCCCTTGCTTCGGTCAAACGATGATTTCAGAGAGTAGACGTCAAATGGCAGATATGCCTGCGATGCGCCTGATATCCATCATACGCACGATGCCTGTTCAGCGACTGCCATCCGTGGCGGGTTGAGCCATGATCACGTACAACAAGGTCGCCGCAATCGCCAGGGGATGGGTAGGGTAAGGGATGCTAAACCCAGGAATCACCATGGAGAGGTGCAGTTTTATTGCAAACAAATTGCAAAGTATGTGTTTGGGTCATGTGGAAGTGAAGAAACATGTTCACATGAGAAGAATACATCCAGACAGCCAATAGCTAATCCGGAGCATGTGCGTTGTTTCTTGCCACTGGTATTTGCTGTTGGCTTGTTTGCTTTGGTTCCTGTTCCTGAAATTCGAATCCTGGCGAAAAAGTTCAGGGGGTGGAGAAAGCTTGCAACAGTTGATCCAAGTGCCAGTTCCTAGTCTCATTGCTCCACATCGATGCCAAATGGCATTATGCATGTCTAGGTCTAGACCCGTTTCATCTCTTGTACAGTCGCGGTCTTGCAGGTTGTTTGTCCCTCAAAACTGGTGAAGGACACGCCTTGCAGCGACGAAAGTGGTTTGAGCACTGATTGATCACAAAGGTTCTTTAACTCCCCAGATCCAGCCTTCAGTAGAAGGAGATGGCACCGACCAGCCAATCCAAGGGCTGGGCTGAAGGCAAGCAATGCCATGTAGCATCTATAGGGCCCTGCGAGCGTCGCGGGGGCCGAATGCACGGAGCTCCGTTGAACAATCGTCCAAACCTGCAGACTCTGAGTGTTATGTGGCCGTGGGTCACACGAGCCCGGGACTTGACCTCCCTGGTAGGATTCGTTCATGGTCAGTGGTCAACCATTTGTAGACCTCCCTGGTAGTTGGTCCAAGTATTGCTGAATATATAAGGCACTTGGACGAACCTGGTACGGCAACGCAGTCGATCCACACAGATGCACCTGGATCCGAACTTCAATGTACCCAAACGGAAATGGGACATGATCCAAACCCAAAACAGGTACGACGGTACCCATCTTTTAAGGTACCAAGCAGTCGGGTCCAGGAATAGAAGATCCAGGTATATAACTCCAATGGCTTATGATGGCCTAAAAGGCCTTCATTTCGTTGAACCATCACCCTTTGTGCTCACCTGTGCGCACCCTATCCCCCACTCTAGACTCTAGACTCCTATCCCCAGCCCTCCACGGCAGCGACGCCGCCAGGGTTGCTTCGGTTTTTGGCTTTTGCTTCGCATCACGGGCACCACTTGGCCTGGGGCCTTGGCCCCAGGCTTCCTGGCCGCAGGCGCGCCAGCAAAGTTTGGGGTGGAATGGACATGTTTTTTTTCTTGCCATTTCTTCAATTTGTGAGCATTTTTGGAGTCCTTACCAATCCCGAGTACCTATTAATAAACATTCCCCAAGTTAAAAAAAACACACCGTCCGAAACCCTAAATGTGGCGTATATTTGTTTTTAAACTACCGCCCTTTCAAACCGCTACTAAACTACCAACATGGTCGATTTTGGGGGTAGTTTCTTTTATTAGGTTCCAAAAACAGCGGTAACTGCCCACATTTGTCCGCCCTGTGCATCCACCATGACACGCCGCGTTTACACCAGCAGGTTTTCCTTCCTCCAATGGCACGGACTCACGCAAACGCACTTGCCACCGAGGTCGTGCAAAACCGCATGGCACAGCGACATCACCGTTCGAAAGCTTTGGTTGTCAGTCTAATGAATCAGTATTCTAATAAAGGGTCTTGTAGGGGAAAAGGAAGACCCTTCGATCTGGAGGTTTGAATTTTTGATACGAGCTTAATAAAGGATTTATATAAAATATTTAGGGCTTACTTTTTGGTTTTGAAGCTCTTCCCAGGTGATCCTATTTTGGACCCCCCCGACTTCAGGGACCCCCTATTTGAAAAAATGCGACCGAGCTTCTCTTATTAGGGGGTGGGGGGGGTGGGCCCGTGTTTATTAATAGGTGGACCGGATTATTAAGTGTCCTGTAAAGCAAGCCTTTTGGTAATTTCGGACCAGGGGATCAAAAGGTCACTTGGAAGAACCCAGGTTTGCACTCTACTTGGATTGATTTGGTAGTTTTTGTGGTCAGTAAAAACAACCACATGTTGGCCATCGGCGCCAGCTTTAACGGGCACATGTGGTCTTTGAACGACCCGTCCGGTCTTGGGAGTTCACCCACCGCTCTGCGCGTTTGCGCACGAATGGTCGAGGTCGACCACCCAGTGGTTCGCCAAGAGGAAACAACATAGCTGGACCCGAGCTTTGTAACTATATGGACTTGATTCACATGTGACGGAGTTCCGTTGGTCCTTTTTCTGCTCACAATGTTTTTGTGAATATGGGCAGATCAGCCAAACGGAGAGTGAGTGTGAAACATTGTGTGTTTGTGGCCGTTGCCCTCTGCCAATAAGCATGGAGGTGCAGTGCATGGCATGGTTTGTTGGAGAACCAATTTCAACAACGAGAGCATGGTACACTTCAACTTGGGAATTGTTTTTCGGTCTTGTTTGATTGGTTTGGTTGTTTGGTTGTTTGGTTGCTGTTTGTGTTTGTTTGATTGGTTTGGTTGTTGTTTTTTTTTTTTTTGTGTGTGTGTGTTTGTTTGTTTGTTTGTTTGGTTTGGTTGTTGCATGTTATTGATGGTGTTGTCGCCTTCATGGAAACAACAACAGAAACCAATCATGGATTTAATTTGAATGATACATTAATGATTAATGAACACGTATGTATATATATATATGTATTATATAAATGCACATTGTCAACTGTTACTTGTGTTTTCTTGTTTCTTTCTTCTTTTCCAACGGGAAGGTTCGACCCCCCTCCAAAATGTCCAGCACGTTGCCTGGGTCTTTGCCACAGCGCCGCCCAAGCGGGCAGGAATCAGCATTTTTTTGGGCCTCTATGATGAGACGGATGTGGTCATGAGGAACCGCGACGGTTTCTTGGACGCCTGGGGCGAAGGTGACTGTGGGCGGAACATAAGGGTTCCTTGTTCTTTTGATCTTTTGCAAGTCTAGTCGTTAGGTGCGTTTTCTGTGCCGTCAGTGGGGGTAGTGTGAAAATCATGCATCACTTGGGATGGGTTGTTACATGTTTTCACTCCTTGCGTATGATTTATCACGTCAACAGTAAAATCATGTGACAACCATTTGGTGGGAAAGTGCGTTCCTTTCTTGGGGGGATACACCTCCTCTCACAACAGTCCTTTCTAGAGACATGTGTCATCGTTTGTGAATCCAGTCACCATTTCATAACATTAGGTTCAGTGTCACATTTTACAACAAGAACAATGATTTCCAAACTAGTCCATTCTCCAGTGTACTTCTCAATTTGTTTTTGTGTTTGCATCTTTCAATTCTGCGCTTCCATGATTATTCCAGATCAATTCTGGAGGACCTTGTTCCAAGAGTTTTCCCGAACATATATAACATGTTTAACCTTGAATGCAGGTGGCTTGGCTTGGACTTAGACCCAGGTGGCTGGCATCTAAATCCAGTTGTTTTGGAACAAGCAGGGAACAAACTGAAGAAGAAGGAACCATTTAATACATATAGTAAATGCTGGCCAGTACAGAGCCAAGACAGGAAGAGCCTTTGTTTAGTAGGGGAGTGACTAAGTAAGGAGCTCTAGGAGTGCTGCAACGATCAATCCTCTTCTATCTATCTTTGGAGTATTGCCAGTAAGGCTGTCCTTGAATCGTTTATTATAGGCTAAAATCTATGTAAGAAGGACTGTATCGAAATCAATAGGGCCTTTGACCAGTCATGATTGGCTAAGCGAGAAGTAGAAAGCTATTGAGTACAAGAGAAAAACTTTTGAGAATAGAGAGCCAAAGGTAGAACTGATAGAGCAAACCGTGTTCAACAAAGGATGGACCAAATAAGAAGAAACAACCAATCAGTAATTGAAAACACAACACACTAGTCAAGGAAGAATAGAGGAGCCAACTAAGATTGAGAGGAGCAATACTATTAAGATTGTCAGATATCAACGTGTTTTAAGTTTTAAGTGTTTACTTTGTCTTTTGTTTCCAGGATCGAGTTTGGAGCTATAGAAAAACATGAAGGAGTTTGGAGCATTTGGGACTCATGCACCCCTTAAGGAGACGAGATTCCTGCAGTCTCCTAAGCAAACTAGTGTTTGTGCAACTAAATTGATTTCTAGTGTTGCTGACCAGCATGATTCCTGTTCCTTGTGTGTCACATGATTCACTTGCTTCTTCCCGCTCAAACCTTGACATTCCCAAAGAGTCCTGCTCTCCAGCCATGTCCTCTTCCAGAATGATCCCGGTCAAACTCATGCGCAGGATTTCCCGGTGGCCTTGGTCTCAATGTCGCACACCGCCCTCCTGGAATGCCCCCCTTTTCGGTCAATGCATGGCGATGCAGATCGGATCGGATCCAAGTAGGTCTGTTTACAGAAGCAACGACGACAACAACTACTACTACCGTACTACTACTAACTACTACTACTACTACTACTACTACTACTACTACTACTACTACTATACTATCTTTAGCTTGCATGGGCGTTCTGGAAGAGTCTAATCATTCTCCTCTATGTAGATCACTTTCGTGGAACCACCCAGGGAGGCCAAACATTTTACGCACAAAAAGGGAACTTTGACAACATGACAGACAGCCACTCAGCATCCAAAGAAATGGTTTTCTGATGTGTCATGTCTTTCACCACTTCATACAACATTACAACAAATCTTTCGGATGTGAAAAGACCAATGCAGCCTGTTTCTTTCGGCTCCTACTGAACGGAGGGTCCAGACTGAGCGCCTGTGAAATACTCAAGTTTGTCCATGTTAAGCTCTTTGTCATGCGTTCAGCGATGCGCTTTGCTACCTTGAACTGCAAATATATGACAACAAAGTCACTTGAGGATTTGGGGGGCGTTCTGGCCTCACAACCACGGCTGCCTACCAACCACGCGCTCTCAGGTTTCTTGGGACATCCCTATGCTTTCCAACTCTTCGCGGTCGTGGTGGGCTTGTTGGTGGCCTTCAAGACTCAATCGGCCTACTCCAGATATTGGGAGGCCGAAGACCGAGTAGACGAGTAGACTCGACTGCTGAGGCTGCAGCTTGTCAGCTTGTTGGATTTTGGGCGAAGTCAGACAGTCAGGTAACCCCGCCCCTTGTGTTTGTGTGCCTCCAAAGAGCGGTTCATGGTAGTTGGACGCATTATAAATTGTTGCTTTTGTTTGGTCCAGAGTGAGAGGGTATATTTCTTGATGGTAGCTGGATTCACTAGATCCTCTTGCACCATACAGAGCGTGCAGTAGACAGGACACACGCTCAAAGGTGGTGGGAGAATGAACAGACATTAATTCATCATTTGCATATATTTGCATTATCCCTCCCAGATTGACCAAATCAAACGAAGACCACTTCAAAGAAGGCTTTAGAAAGTTGATTGTCCTGGCAACTACGAAAACCAAGTAAACACAATTAACATGAAAACATGAGAACATCTGAGCCCCAATGAATATTTAGTACCCAAACACTCCTTGTATGCCATATATATATGCCTACATTGGGGTGGTTTTGGGGGTCAATGTATACCGTACATGGAGTGTTTAGGGATATATGTCCCATTTTTCACCATGCGTCTTGCACCCATCGTGAAAAACTCCGTCTGTCGCACCTGACGGATCGGCGACGTCGCAGGCGGCGGGTGCCTTGCAAAATATGGCCTCGAAATGGTTGGACGGCGTTGGCATGGCCATTGCCTTCGATGCCGCAGGTGGGGCGGATCCAATTAGGCGAGTTTGGTACTTTCAGCTCACACCAAGCACGTGCCAAAAGGAGCTACTACTTGGACTCTATGGAATAGATAGTACAAGATAATGCTTTCGTAGCTGCCACTCAGCTTAGGCTTTTACCTCTTTGTCGTACCAGAGAGTGGCAGGCATCGTCCCCGAGCATGTAAAGATGTGCAAATGTTACATATATATATATATATGGTGCCCTGTTCGGGATGTACGGTATATCATTGAGTTATGAAAAGCAAAGAAAATCATAGGAAGCACAGCAAGCTCCAAAAACGCATGAAAGCAACAGAAGTGGAGAGAAAACATGGCATTCCCTTTTTCTATCCCGGATGGAACGGCCGTCGCCTCCTTTCGGAGAAAACTGAGGAGACTCTAGACACCCTTAAGTACTGTAGGTGGTCTTACAGGGTCCAACGTATGTTCGTGTCAGTCGTTTGTCCTCAGGAGATGCCTCCTGTCCTTACTTGTACGGTGAGAGCTGGGAGAGGCGACCGGGGACCTGTGAGTTGGAAAGACTGAACGATTGGAGAGTCCTTTTCATTCCCAGCTGCATGGGAGTGGGACGCAAGAAAAGGTCGAAAAGGTCAAGCTGAAATGGAGACGACCCAGAGTGGCAGGTGGTGACCTGGCATTTTCGGGTGCTGGTCCCCTCTCACGCGAAAAAACAGTACTGGCATTGATACCAATTATGATGCTTAAGAGAAGATAATTTGTTCCCCACATGGAAGGAAACAAGGAAGGATCGCCTCAGTCAGCCCTTAGTTGCCTTTTGGGGGTTTGAACATCTACAGGACATTCTTCACATACATGCCTGGAATTCCCTGGCTTTGCGGATCAGGTGATCTTGGTTTCCCCTCCGGGTGAAGGGCCTTCTGGGGAAAACAATGGAAAACTGGTGTTTTTTGTTGGTTTCCCGGTTCCTGAAGCTTGCTGGCTGATTCTGGAAGACCAAACCAGTGGGTGCGGCTGAGCATGGCCATCATTACTTGAATATATACATGTCCGAGCCTCATGTCGAACATGAGACAGGTTCAAGACAAGGTCCAGAGTTCCTTTTCTTACTAGCACCTGTGGTAAGTCGTTTGGTCTTGTAGAAAGTCGTCTGGACAAAACCAGGTGACTAGTCACCCCAACGCGTTTGTACCAGATGTCGAGCAGGGTGTTTGCCAAGTCTGTTCTTTGCAGCTGCGAGTCGAAGACACCAGAAGACTCTCCAACTTCGCGGTGAGACGTGCTGAGTCATGAACCAATTAATTAAGCAATAATGTCTCATAATTCCTACCTGGAACTAGATGTTTGGGAATGGAATTTGCCTCTAGTGAACTAGAGGGTCCACACCAAACGTTTAGAATTTGCCTCTATGAGTCTATGTCAGGCGAACAAACCCGCGACAGAAAGTGCAGAGAACGTCGAGTCTAGCGACCCGCGGCCTAGAGATTCCAAGACCAACGGCTTGCCAGGAGTGCAGAGGAGATCCCAGGCAACAAGGCATGGCTCGGTTGACAAGCGTATTGGGTTGATTTTGATTGGTCAAATCTCCCAGGTCTGGGGAAGATGCCTTGCTTTGTCCCGGTTCTCTATGAGAGGTCTCCGCAGTGGTTGGCTTTCTGAGCTCGAAAACACCGGAAACCGGTTGCAGCTGTGCGCTAACCCCCAGCGCGTGGTTGGGGGTCGGTGAGCGCGGCCCAGCGCATGCGACCGGTGAGCGAACAGAGCTGCTTCAACAGGTGGACGCTCCGATTCATTACCCTCTGACGAACACATCACATGGAAGTGGAAACAACGGTATGAAGTGGTCTCTCAAAAAATAAGCTGAGACGAGCGCTCAACTCTTGATGAAGTGCATATAAAATTGGTATCTCTATTGAGTCTGTCCCAGAAAACCTGTAACAGTCGGTAAACAAGAATATCACTCTTTTAGAGATGCTGGCCTGCAACGCAACCATCATCATTTTCAGTGGGGGTTGACAAAAAGGATATACCCATCGGTAGTCTCAAGGACAACGGCGAAACGGTCCATTGTGACTCCACTCCCATCCGCAAAGTGCTTGCCGCTGTGCCGACCGTTTTGGGTCGGCTCAGTCATAGAGCCACTCCATCAGCCTTCAAGACACGGTGGTTTGCAGAGACAGACCAACCGTCAGCGTCCAAGACTATCTTCAGGATGGTTTGACTGGTTAGGGTAACCTGAGTTCTTCAACTAGTTTCCCAGTTAGGGTACCTAGTTAGGGTACCTATTGAAGTGCCCCAGTTCGGGTACTCTTAGTACTTCACTATGGGGCCACTTCGTCTCCTCGACATCTCGACGAACCGAACGGATACGGAATTCGGCGGCGCGGTGCTGAGACCGAGAGAAGAACGAGATCCATCCAATCTCCGGGCATGTTCCAGCCGTTTGAAAAGCTATTTGTTGAAAAGCTCTGACGTCTTCCAGCCATTCTTGCAAGCCCCTGAAGCCGCCCTCAGACCTGCCTCAAAGCGTCTTTTCCAATCACTCGAGTCCGGAAGACCATTTGAGCCCTGAAACCCCTCTGAAACCCGCCCTTCACTTCCGGGGCCTTTGTTGTTGCGCCTTCTGCAACCCGCGGATCCCTGCACGGCGCGGATCCGGCGCGCTCCGCCTCAGGGGGGTCCCGACCACCAGCGCTACGTGGCGCAGCTGGTGCACATCGCGTCGCTTCTGCACGCCGTGGCGCTGCAAGACCTGCGTCCGACGGCCGAGTCTGCCCCGGTGAGGAGGGGCTTTGGCGGCCGGGTGTGATGGGAGTAGCATCGGTGCTGTTTGGAAGAGGAGAACGGTGGTTTGAGCAAGAGAGAAGGAGCTACGAAGAATTGGACAGAGGATTTGATGTGACAGGACTACGAAGACGTGTGGAGAATAGTGTTTCTTTGACCAAAGTTCTGACGAGTTGATGCACAGGGTTATGATGATCTACTCAAGACCAGAAAGAACAGTCAGCTAGCTTTCCCCCCAATAAATATCGCAATATCATTTTTTGCGTATGCAGGTGGAGCAATTAATTAACTCAACCTGTCAAACTCCTGTTGTTGTATTGGCTTCTATACACAAATAAATGCTTGTAGCAGTAGCTAGTAGTAGTAGTAGTAGTAGTAGTAGTAGTAGTAGTAGTAGTAGTAGTAGTAGTAGTAGTAGTAGTAG